AATCGGCAGCACATGCATAAGATTATAAATCAAAGGTCACAGTAAAAACACCAAAAAAATAAAAGATTATACATGTAGAAAATTTCATCTGATAACGAACGTCTGTAACTTCTCCAGAAATTTTCACAAATTTAAACGGAAGTACGTATACAGATATATATATATATATACCTCCCATTGTCATTCATATCTGGGTATTCGTTCCTTGGCAGATCAAGTTGATCAGAATCAAGCTCCCACAAATCAGGTTTACCTGGTTGAGGCAGAAAATGCCCCAAAAATCTAACCAAATACAAACAAGCTATTAAAATAGGCCGATACATAATCTGATTAGACTTGACAAGATGGATTATCGAGAATTTAAGACTACCAGACTTCAGATTTTCAACATGAGGGATTCCAAGAGGCACATCCAAAATTGTAAACACCACACTTACATATTAATTGCATTTTGCTACTCAGCATCCACATAAGCATTGCTGTAATATCTTTGCAGAGTTCGAAAAGATTCCTGGGACTGTATTGCAGCTGCCCATTGGCCTCTTCTCTCTGAGAAAATCTAATGATATGAAGGTACAGAAGTGTCAACAGATGCACCAAAAATTGCTTAAACTGAAATGAAATGGATACAAACAAAGGCTCCAGAACTCAATTAGTTTGAAAACGCTGCATTCATTCCCATTTCCGTAACAGTCGATCAAAATTAAGTTCAACAGGCTCACATTGTTCATAACTAATCTACACACAGACACAAATTATAATCACCCAACTCCTCCAAACAGTTATTCAAATATTCCAGATTAAAGAAAATATATATTTCGACATTGTATCACAGAATTACAAATAAACCGTAAACCAGAACAAGAAAAAAAAAGCTTGCATTCTACTTAATATACCTTGTTGTGAGCAGCTGATCCTCCGTATTGATGTGCAAGAGTGTCGCCCTCGTTCACATCAAAGTTGTGTTTCGCGATATCTGTTTCAGAATATGCCATGGAGGATGTATCAGGAGTAATGGCATTCCTGTGTGTGTTAACATTTAAATTTCAGCATACCATTTTATAGCAACATGATTACGAACAAGAAAACCATAACAAATGTCATCTGGGCTAAAGTGTCTCAATAATTGTGTATTGTCCCGGTCTCCAGAGCCAGTTTGCTAGTCCTATTCATTTGGTCTAAAGAGTGGATCAAAGAAAAAAATACCCGCTATGCCCTAATTACCAGCAAGATTAAATACCAAAAGAATATAAACAGAACATCTTAGAGTGCAATTGGACATGAAACTTTTAAAATTTAATGACAGAAATTCCCTCCGAATTTGTGAATGATTATAAATCTTTTAAAGATACATTCTCCTTTTTTTCTCTTTCTCAGTTGATAGAAAACTGAGCATTACTACACAATATGAATTTATCCTCGCATATTTCTAGCTATTAATCATTCTCTGAGTACATTTTTTGTACCCAATCACGTACCTAAATAGAACAATATCCAATTCACCCATATGAGTTGACATAGCTCCAATTTGGTAAGGATGTACGAAATAGAAAAAAAATAAAATGCAACACTTCCATTATAAAGGTGGAAAGGGAGAACCTACTCAAAACTGGGCCACCTGAGATGCCCCTCCGATAACAATCCCGGTGTTACTCGACAGTAGAAGATACCTGTCAGCGTCAAAGCATAGGCAGCCACCTTTCCCAAAGGTAGCAAAACATTTGTAGCTTTGCTGATGGAAAAATGAGAATAATGTAAATATAGTTCAGAGGCCACGCATAAGCTGCATAACATAAAGATTGAACTCATTCAAAACCACATAACTCGGTTTTTCCACGAATTAGTTTAATACACTATTATGGCCAAAGATATATTTCATTAATGTTGTTGAATGTGATGAATGATTTTAATTTGTATTAAAGCATCGGACATATCGAGAAATATAATGGATGAATGTTTGTAATTGCGTATATTATATTTTTCGTCTTGTGACCGTGTGTTGATAACCGGGAGATCACAAAGATCGACGAACCTCGAAGAACTGACCGGACCCGGGCCCGAGGAACCGCCGACGACCACCTCAGCAGCTCGCTGTCGGGAGCCGCGCGACTGGCAGTCAGCGTCGGCGGCGGTTGGGGGCCACGGAAGAGACCGGACGACGGAAAAAAAAAAAAAAAAATTCTTGCCGGTTTTCACCGGCAACCGGCAGCGGCGGCAGGCGGTGGTTGGTGGCAGGTGCTTTTCTGGTTGGACAAGCAGTACTATACCTATCAGAATTCTACTGCAGTGGGAGTTGCAGTTAGACAAGGAAAAAATCTGATAAGGTTTCCTTGTGTAAAAGGCTCAATAATTAATGACATAATAGTAGATTTATTTATTTAAATTTATTATGCCAATTATTTGTTTATTTATGCATGGGAATTAAATATTTCTTTTGTATGAGATTAATTTAGAATTGCATAAATATTTAAAAATCCTCATTTTTTTTTTGGCCAAAACGATAGAGGTTTTATATAAAATGGCACAAATGTGCAAAAGAGCAGCCACCAGCTGAATACACACAGCCAACGGCTGAATACAGACAGCCAACAATTGAATAAACTGAGAGGACAGTCCAAGGACCGCCTAGAGCCGACCCCAACGGGGTAATACTCACGGACACACTACAACACTAATAAACGAAAACACTAAGAAACTAAAAAGACCCCAACAGGATAATACCCGAGTGTCTGATCCCAACAGGATAATAAGAGGACACTCGGGCTCACAGGGGCCAACGACCCAAACCAAAACACAAGACCGAAACAACACAAGCCTATAAAAAACAGGAAATAAAATTACAAAACTACTACATTCAAGACCTTCCCCAACCGGCCATCGAGCTCGGCCTGCAGAGATCAATCAATCCAAGGAAAATCTCGAGCCCAAGCACTACTACCGAAACTGCGATAACGCCTATACAAGCAGTCGAACTTGAGCCCCAAACCTAGCCCCAGAATGATCCACCCCCAATCGAGGGAACACGACACCAACTCCCGCACCTTCACAACCCGAAATTCATCTAACACCACTAGCTAAACTCGGTTGCTCCAGACCCCATCCGACCCCAACACTAGAGAACCGGGGGGAGAAAGAGAGCGGCACAGTCCCACTGCTCTAGCTTCTCCGACGAAGGACGCCACAGCCGCTGAAGCCCCATCCCACCTGCTGACCCTCCTACCGGCCATCACCATAGTCCGCCGACAAATAAAAACGAAAACTCCTTCAGGGCCCCACCGGGAAGACGGAGCCGCCCGCAGAAGAACCCTCCCGTCACTGCAAAGTCGGATTTTGAGGTCAACCACCTCCAATAGAGACCCGCCAGCAATAGACACCACCAATTGCTTGACCAATCGCCGACCAAAGGAGCTCACCACCGGAATCGCGATTTCGCCGGCGACCTAGGATAGGGGCAGATCTTCAATCGCTGATTTACCATGGCAACAGTAGACGGCTGAGGAGACAGAGGGAAGAACGAGCGATCTAGGGGCGACGGCGGTCCAAAGCCTCGCCGCCGGCGAGGAAGGCAACGCGGCGAGAAGATGGTAGCAGATGGCGAGGGTTTGAGAGAACGGAAAAGAGAGAGTCAAAAGTTTTTCAAATGGAAATTGAGTGATATTCTCTTAAAAAATCCTCATTGAATAATACTAAGTTTGAGAAGGGATTTTAAAATTAAAGTTTTGTTAAAATTCCTAAGGCTTCCATTTTTAATTTTTTGGTAAATCAATTAATTGAAGTATGAGCTTCCCCACGGATGACATCACTAAAATTAATTGTACGAAATTACCAGAACAAATTTATAAATTTAGACGATTATTTGAAATCTTATGAGAGCGTACGAGCCTCCCCACGGGGGACGTATAATCAACTTTGACGACCTCAAGTTCGAGACATGGGATTCACTTAGAATGTAATTTAATTTATAAGCTCCCTACGGTGTTCCTGAATTTTATTGCATGGCCAAACGGAGGCCGACTATTAATTTCGTTCGTCATGAATTTGGTTTTGACTTATGCAAATTAATGGATTCTTGATAAACCCTTCTCTTGCGAATGTTGAGTATGTAGGGCGACCCACGTAGCATACTTACTCACGGTGTGTAGAGATGCCGGTGAATTTAAGTTAATATTGTTTTAAGGATATCAATGTTAACAGTAAAATTCAAAATGTTTAATCTGAAAAATATTTTCGTGATTCTCAGGCTATATTCATCATGTCGTTCAATCCGTTATCTATCATTCTAAACAATCGGCTTACTGGTCCTAACTATATTGTTGGAAAAGGATTGTAGACATTATGTTGATTGCTGAGGAATATAAGTATGTGATCACTGAGGCTTGTCCGGATGTACTTGTAGACGATGCCCCTGTTGGGATCTATGAGGATCTCGTTATGTACAAGTCACGAATTCAATAGCAAACGTAAACTTGTGCGCAGCGGTTCTAAAGGTTTGACGTAGAAAACTTACGGCTTAAAATTTTATGAATCTGACGAATTCGGGATGACCTGGAATAGCACACGAATGGATGGATCACACGAACAGGTGGCGTCGAGCTCACGGTCAGGTCGTGTGGAATCGGGATCTCCGGTCATGTCGCATGCATGCGCCGATCGTGTCTCGCCGATTGGTCGTAGCGTCAGTCGGGTGCCGGTCGTGTTGCGCCTTTCCGGTTCTGTCGCGGCGGGTCTCCGGTTCATGGTGGGTCTCCGGTTCGCGGCGGCGGTCGTTCGACTGGGATGGGTTGGCAGATCGTGGCCTTCGGGCCCTAGTTCGTCAAGTCCTTGTAAACGATCGTCGGGTCTTAAATACCTTTGGATCTTCTACTGTATTACTCAAACACCTTTTTCAACTTGTACCAGTGGAGCAACAAGAAGAAGATAAAGCTTGAATGAGAACTGAGAGAGAGAGGGAGGGGCCGGATGATTTCACGTGAATTATGCGTGATCTCTCCTCTTCTCATGAGCTTAATGATGTATATATAGAGCTACAGTAGGAACCCTTAAAAGATTAGACTAATTGTGGGTCAAACCCACTCTTTTATTAATTAATATTATGGGCCATCAACATAATATTATTGCACTCCATTTTCCTATCCCAAATTACATTTGAGACTCCAATTATAATTACTCGGTTTACCTCCCCGCGTTTAAGATATAATGCCCGCTAATTAATTCGATTACAGACAATCAAGAATTAATTAATTTATTATTATTTCACCGAAGCTAGCGCTCGTTCATCACATTATTATTATGCCTGAACTTAATCTACCTGCAGGGTTTAGCATAACAATCTTTCATACTCACTCTGGGGACATCATCAAACTAACATACATGGTGACCGTAAATATTCTAACAGCACATCCTACATACAATACTATTACCCAAGGCAATAGGAATATTAATCCAGCAAAACCTCACCCAAGGGAATAAGTAATATGTACTGCATATATATGCCTGTTTAGTATCTTACTAGTTAAGAGAACGCAGTAATTAATCGAGGCCTAGTTCGTTTACGACGATCAGTATAAAACGAAATTCTACTCTCAGGGATCCTGTTCAATACATAAATGTACTAGTGTAACTAATCAGTCAAGACCAACTGTACTGTTGACACTACAACCATTTAGATGGGGTGTTCATTTCCATCTAGGTTGTGAACCACAATTCTTGTTTCGCAAGTAACTGATAGAATGATCTTCTGTTCGCCCGATGAGGACCCATTCTATCTAAGTGCAAAACAACAGACATAGAACTTGTTTAATCTAACATAATTCTCATTCATAAAGGGTAAAAGTGTAATATCATTCAAAGCCAAACTTTCAGTATATAACACTAACAATCTCCCACTTATACTTAAAGCTTTCGCTTTTACAGTAAAGTCCTATCAATCCGTTATTCTAAAAGACCTATGTTGATCCTATCGCCATGCACCGGACTCCTATTCCTTCCACATGTTTGATGAAGGCCCTCCCCGAAAAACTCTTTGTGAAAGGATCAGCTAGGTTGTCCTCTAATGCAATCTTTGTAACATCAACGTCTCCTCTACCAACGATATCTCGTATCAGATGGTTCTTGCGCTCTATGTGTTTGCTTGATCTGTGGGCTCGTGGTTCCCTTTAGTTCGCTACGGCTCTATTGTTATCACAGTACACGGTGATACAACGTGGCACACTCGGAATCACCTCTAAGTCCACTAAGAAGTTTCTGAGCCAAACTGTCTCTTTCACTACCTCTGAGGCTGCTATGTACTCGGCTTCCATGGTGGAGTCTAGCACTCCTCCATGAAATGGCTCCACTTCCCAAGGTAAACATATAACGTGAGGCTGAATTACTCTTGTCCCTATCTGACTGGAAATTGGAATCACTGTAACCCAGAGGTAACAAGCTGTCTGCACGGTAAACTAACATGTACTCCTTAGTCTTCTTCAGGTACTTCAGTATATGTTTCACCGCAGCCCAATATTCCCGTCCCGGATTACTTTGATATCTAGCTTGGTCAACGGCATAGCTAATATTCGGCCTCGTACACTACATAGCATACATAAGACTTCCTACTGCGGAAGCATAAGGAACTGTCTTCATGTCTTCTATCTGTTGAGGCATCTTAGGAGAAATCTCATTAGATTGACGGATTCCATTTCTGAAAGGTAACGTACCTCTGTTGGGATCCTGCATGCTGAATTTGACCAAGA